GTGGAGAACACCTTGGGGATCAGGAAGGGAGGACGACCCTGCCTGCTGCCACCACTGTCCAAGCTGAGTCTGGCTCCCAATGCATCCCGGCTGGAGTAGGGCAGGAGTGGCTTTGGAGCTCCCTCCCTTCCCCCCACCCCCACCGCCTTGGGTCAGCCAGGGATTGTGGAAGCAGCAGGCAGGGAAAGAGGAACGGGAGGAGAGAGGAGAAGCTGCTGAGCATGGAGAGGAAGGGAGAAGGGGGGTGGGGGGATTCTTACTTGCTCTTGGGACTTAAAGTCCATGGCTGCTGCTCCCATGATGTGGCCCAAAAGAGGGTGCGACTGTCCCATACATGCCCTCTGGATCTGCCCCTGGTGGATGCAGCTGGGCAGTGCATGTGGGAGGGGAATGCTTGGGAATAGCCTTGCCATGATAAATTGCCCCTGGGGTGAAGACAATCATTAAATCACAAAAAGCTAGGAAAGAGGAGGGGACAGTTCCACTCACCTCTTATGTTCAAGTTTTGTGTAGGGTGGAATAGGATCTCACATGACAGGGCACTTGCATACCTCAAATGCTCACATTAGCTACTGGCTTGGACCCCAATTCGGGAAAACCCCCTGAATTGCATGATTAAATCCTTTAAGTGTATGTGTAAATGACACCTTGCATGAGGATGCACTTAAACCTGTGCCTACTCGCTTCCCTGAATCACAGGCTAAGTTTGGACTTTTCCACACGCTTGCACTCTACCTCTGTTAGCAATCACATTGCAAAGCTCTTCCTCCAATAACTGCAGCACTCATTTTCACATGGGAGCTGGTGCTTCCTCCAAGCACGGTTGTCTAGTATTATTCGTGAACTGGTGGATCAGATGAAAGCCAGTCAAGTGGAAGAAAGGACCATACTGAAACATGCAGGCTCCCTTGGTAATTGCAATGCTGAAGGCATTTCTCCAGTCAGTTAATAGATTTCCCCAGTTCCTCTGTGCCAGGTGAAAATTTCCTCATTAAGGAGAATATATTCCATTTCCTTTTATCATTTATTATTGAAGAAGTAGTGAGAGTGGATGGAGTTTCAAAGATGACAGGGTAGAAATTTAAACAAAAACAACAACAAAAAATCCACACTGGAACCTGAAAAGAGGAGGAGAGAGATTGGCAAAAGGCTTGTATTGTTTATAAACTGCAATATACACGGGAGACCTAGCTTTGTGAGAAGTGAGCTGCACTGCCTAACCGTTAAATGATTATGGCAGTGTGTAAAAGTCTGATTGCCTGGTTTGAAGCTCTAGAAAGTCAAACTGTCATTTTGCGGAGGCAAATAGTGGGAAATGAAGTGTTAGAGAAGGCTAAAATTGCTGCCACTTAATCTCCCTTTGTTTCAGAATCAGTTACAGAACGGTGAGGACGTTTAGTCGGAAGATTTTTGTCCTTGATTCATACACGCCTCTGGGTAAAAAGGGAGGGAGCTTTCTCTGCTGGCTGGCTCACCAGCTTGGGAGTCAGTAGGCCTGGGATTTTTGCTTCTCCTCTTTTTGTCTCATGTAGATGAGTCACTTGGGCTGGGGTTTTTTGAATCATTCAGCACTGGCCTAACTGTGCCTCCATTGATTTCTTGTGACTGAAAAGAAGATAAGCAAAAGTTTCCCAGTGAAGTTACTTTGCATAGAATTAGGCCAATACAGCCTGAAAAATGTGGATCCATATCTGGATTTCAACCAGCTCAGAGTTTTCTAATGCAACCTAGACACTCAGTTGGTGTAAATGAGTGCTTGTTTTACAGCCTGAATACACCTGTTGGCAATCTAGCCCTGTGGTATTTCCAAATTTTTCATCTGGATTTCAAATACTTCACATTGTTTGGGAATATTTTAATCCAAGGGTTTGGTTCATGCCTAGTTCCATGATGAAATCCTGGCCCTATCAATGTTGATGGTAAAATTCCCATTAACTTCACTGGAGCCAGGATTTTATTAATTTTACTGATCTCTCTCCTTCTATGCACTTAGAATAGAGTATGTTTTCTCCGTTTTATACTTCATACACTTATATGCTGTAACAAAATTGGAAAATACTATATTCATCTACCTTTCAAACACTCTCTGATCTAGCTGCCACTACATCTTGTTTACTTGACCACACGGCAGTTTCTTGTCTTTACTATACCCCTTCTGAATTCTTCTGAGACTCCCTTTCTATAACACCCCAGAATTATGTTACAATGAAGATTAGAAAATATAATATTTCATGCCCCATGGGTACAATATCTTACCTATTCACTCATGTCATCCTCTATGAAATCAGTCACCTTCTTGTTTGACTACTCAGACTTCTAACCTTATCTGAGTTACTAGCCTCAGGCTAATGAATTGTGTCTTCTCAAGACTAAGATCCCTTTTTTGTATGATAATAATGGGATATAAAAAATGGAATTGAAACAAGCTGCAAATGAAGGCAATTTTCTTTCTCTGTCAGTAATCAAATGACAGCCAGACCTGTGTCTTCCAGAGACAGGAGAGAGAGCATGTGCAGCAACAAACTCATTTCCTTAGGGTCAGGTCCACTCACTCATACTTAGGCGACACAGCATCTAAGAGGTAAATAGAACTTAGATGCATCTTTGCTAATTGCTGGTGATGGCAGGCATCTGTTTTGCCAGAGACTAGGGCAATGTTATTCGGTCCCTTCCCTTCTGTGAAAGCATTTGTGTGCCGCAGATTAGATGCATGAAACATTAAACTACCCTCTGCAGAAGCTTTTCAAACATGCTTCAAATCTGCATCCAGCATTGGCATTTTCTGTATGTGCTTTTTGGGCTGCTCTTTATTTGAAAGCAATTCATATGCTGAGTATACAGGATTGGCCGTAGGTGAGCAGAGGGATATTGCATTGAAGAAGTTGGTTTATGAGGAAACAGATCTCAGCAAAGCCACTAGATACAGCATGAGTAGATTGTTTTCCAGGATTCTTATGTGCACCATTTATTGCAGTGAGCTTTAGATCATGCAGATCCCTTCTCTCTCAGAGGTAGCAAACAGCAGTATTGTATAATGAGGCCTGAAGGACTTAAGCTGACATTACTGCATGGAACCCTTTGCTAGCATGATAGAGGCTCCAAACCACAGTTTCACTAATAGCAAGGAATTAATTGATCATATTTAATCTTTTTAAGATGTTACTATTCAGAAGTCAATACTAGCTCCCATAGTCATATCATCTCATACTGCAGATGGGGAAGCCAAAGAAACAAGATGTGTCTTTGGATAGGTCATGGAAGGAGTTCAGAATAGGGATTAGACTACAAGAGTATGTAGCTCCCAACTCCATTCATAGAGCAGTCTACCACCAGCATTGACCGCCCTGGGGCACACACCTATTTTTAAAGCAGTCCTTTATTTAGCCCAATCTGCGTGAAGAATTCAGCCCAATACCTCTCTTGTTCTTCAGCTTTCTGAATCATTCAAACAAACCAGCTTTTCCCCTCTCCTCCCCCTCACATAACATAATGCTATTTATTTAAAAATACCACAAAGCAAAGGACATAATTCAAGAGCTCTGATTTAGGAAAATAGCTTGTTTGTTAATCATTTCCTCTTTCCTGATTCTGTGCTTGCTTGCACATAAAATATTGATTTATTGGGCAAGCAAGGATGCTCTTGGCAATGAAGATGAAAGGCAGAAGTGCTGAAAAATATGTGGGCTTTTATGTTTTTGCAAAAGCTTTGCTTAGAAAAAGTAGCAACTCCTAGATATCAGAGAGAGAGACAGAAACTTTGTCAGACTGGTAGGCAGAGGCAAAGAATGGCATAGATGCTTGTGATGGAAAGGGACAATGGGAGTGGAGATTAAAAATGCAAAAAAAGAGCTGGCTCTCTTTATTTGGTTCAGCTGAGAAGGTGCAGAGATGATCAGAGAAAGCAACAGAGCTGGGGAAAGTTGCGAAAACACGTGAGATGCCTGAGCAGAGAAGAAGTGGAAAGAACAATAAAGTCTAGGAGTTGCTGAGAGATCTCATTTGAAAATAAATATATCATGGCACAAGGGATGGAGAAAGTAAATTGGGCTTACTTGTGTGCCTATTTTACAAATGAACCTTGGGAACTCATTGTCACTTGATAACACTGATGCCAAGTGATTAGCAGGAATTTTAAAGAACTAGCCATTTACATAAATAATGAGAATTGCTATTACAGTAGGTGTGATAAATTATGCTTTGAGGAATATGTCAATTACAAACTAACAAGGGTTAAGGGGGATACCCCATGAGTAGGCCATTCCATAATTGCTTCCTTTAGAACGTTCCCTAAATCATCAAGCCACTCTTAGAGACAGGATATTGGACTAGGCAGACTGCTGGTCAGAGTCTGTCTGGTGTTTGCTACCTGTTTGAGCTTAAAATGAAAGAAGAAAAACAAATAGAAAAACAAAAAGTGGAGGAGGGAGTCAGACAAAGTGTGGGTGTGGGGATGTGGATGCACTGAAGTTGAAGGAAGGGAACAGGCAGACGAGGTTCTTTGGGTAAATCCGATATTTTTTATTAGACTGACTCAAATAGTTGGAAAAAGGAAGGTAACAGGCACACATCAGTTATCTGTTCAGTTAAGAGTCATTGGTAACATACACTGTCCTCTTGTACTGGATTGTTGTATATAAGTGTGATGCTACACCAAAGTAAAGCACTCATGGAAAGGACAGGGCCTATTATGAGTTGCTAAAGCACTATTCTGTTAGCTCAGAATTGTGACTGAATATGAGAAAGAGGGCCATGAGTCCAATGCCTCATTATAAGCCTACAAGCTTTAACTAAAAGCTTCTGTAAAGGGTAAGCAGATGTAAATTCTTGTGTACAGAACAAGACTTTGATTAGCTGAGCACGTATGTTTCTCTCTTTACCTGATACATATACATTCTTATAGCAGGGGTCCCAAGGTCCAACACAGAGAATATAGGCAGAAGTGTGGTTTAGGTCTGTTACCAGAAAGTGCTGTATATTTTTTTCCCCTCTATTTATCCTAGTGACTCAATTCCAGAAGAAACATTGAGGAGGGCCAAACAGATTGGCTTCTCAGATAAACAGATTGGGAAATGCTTGGGAGTGACTGAGGCCCAGAGCCGTCAGCTAAGGGCGAAGAAGAACGTAATGCCTTGGGTGAAACAGGTACAGTATGAAACATAACTGCCTTGGCAGCATTGCTGGTAAGATGGGGACTTCTGTTGATTCAGGAAACATGAGATTGATATGCCTGTAGAAACTACATGGAGATGCAAATTTGAGGATGAAATCTTGGCTCCACTGAGAGCAGCGGAGCCAGGATTTCACTCTTGTGTTTTACTTCTACTGCCTCCTGCCTCCAACCTTCCAGCTCTAAATCCTGTGTTGCGGACCTTAATGCAATGATTTGAAACAGTGGGCTGAGTAAAAATGCACTTCTTTTATTAGCTTCCACAGAGAAACACAACATGTTTTCTCTCTTCTTCTGGGTGGCCCAGATTGAAACCTTGCCATTTAGCTGCAGAGAATTGTGAAAGGTGGAGAATACCGATGCTGGCCCACTACACTGTGACCGTGAAAAGTATAATCTCACTCTCTCTTGGTAGTAACTTTTTAAAGGGTAATACTTTATTTTAAGTGTCCCATCATTATGGGTTCATTTAGTATTCATTGTGATAGCACTGAGTATAATGAGCTCATCTGGTATTCATGACGATGTCACAAGTGCTTTCATAGGTGTTCCATTGTCGTTTTGCCTCTCATTTAAGGGATGCTGATACTAAAGAGCTACCAGCTGGTTTTGTCCTTTAAAAAAAAAAATCACTGAATGTTTTTGAACGTGTGCAGAGGGCCCATCTGTATCCTCCAGTCCAGTTCCAGATGTCAAATATCCTTCTGCTCCCCAGCTGCTGTTCGCTTTCCATGTCCTCACCTAGCCTCCACAAAGTTGGCCTGCCTTATACTGTGTTTTTTGCATATGGCACTGCAGTACTAAATTTACTTGTGTGCCAAATATCCTTAATAAGGCCATTCCACTGATGACTGCATTTGTGGCAACAATACCTACACTTCTCCTAGAACCACAGAGTACTAGTTGTATTAATAACAGTAATGAGCGAGCAGGATATTCTTTTATATAGTGCTAACAGCATAAGGCCATGTTATTCATTACTCACAAGTATTTAGGCTCTCAGTGGGGAGTAATGAAAATGGTTGAAAATTGGAAAGTGCTTTGCCTTTTAGCATGTAAAATTTCCCTTTCTGGGAAGGAGGTGGCAAGAAGCAGTGTGTGAGTGGCTGGATAGAAATAGGTCACAAGAAGGAAAAGAACAGAAAATGACCAAAAGGAAACTCATAAACTGGTCAATTTCTCATTTTTCCACTTTTACAGATTGACACACTGGCAGCAGAATACCCTACATTAACTAACTACCTCTATATCACATACAATGGACAGGTAAGTCCTGTCACATACTTCAGTTGCTGTGTATTCTAATGTCTTTTCCCTCCCTGATTAGACTCTAGAGACACTGCAATTAATTCTCATTCTTGGCAGCAGGTTACTGTTTCAGATGATGTGATGCATAATCCATTGGAGCCGGGTAGAACTTTTTTCCTCTTTAAATATTGACGTAGTGCATGTTAGTGTTAGTGAGGGAACCTGCACTGATAGCACTCATGTCCTCTCTGCATATTACAGTTATAGCCAAAGCACTAGTAGTGCAGGCTTCTGCAATGAAAATGACACTGGCATACTGACATTTGGTATTAGGAAACTGTGTAGATCCATGAGTTAGTCTGGCACTTCAGATAACTAGAATCTGAGGCCCTGAGTGTCATCTCAGTTAGGTAAAATTCCTATCAGTTTCAGTGGTGTTACCTGTTCCCCCTAATTTACACTGCAACAAATTAAGATCAGACACATCCCCTGAATGTTTTACTTTTGGATATGGGCTGAACTTGAGAAACTATTTGTTCTCATAAATGCAGAGTTGGAACTGCTGGGTACAGATCCTAATGACTTCTCTCCATTCCTGTCTTAGGAGCATGATGTAAAATTTGATGACCATGGAACGATGGTGCTGGGCTGTGGACCATATCACATAGGTAAATCTCACTTACAGCTCCTCTGTCCTTCTGGCACCCTAAAGTCATCTTTGGGAATTCTTGTGATTCATTTGTTCCTCTTTTCATATGGTAACAAAACTAGCCAGAACATGGTATATAATACCTGATTTCAAAATACAGAACTTGCTTTTTACATTTGCTTGGGGACATCATTTCATGCCCTGTAAAATATAGGATATTTCTTATTATTTTACCACTGAAATTTGAGAGCATGTTGCCTGTTTGTGATTTTCAGTGAGCCCCGCCTCCCAACTCTTCTTACTTGCAGCTAAAAAAATCTTTGGAATCTAGTATCTTGTACCCATATTCATTGCTGTTACAGCTGTGTCATTTAAATGCATATGATTGTATTTGATAAATCCTTATACCTATCAATGAGAGTCTTTAGGTGAGCTGTTATGTCTATTAAGTGTCTTAACAGACCATTATAGGGGTGCGGGTTGTAGCTGTGTTGGTCTAAGGACACAGGCAGACAAGGTTCTTTGGGTGACTCTGATACCTTTTATTAGACCAACTTAAAAGTTGGAAAAAATTTTTCCAACTATTTAAGTTGGTCTAATAAAAGATATCAGAGTCACCCAAAGAACCTTGTCTTAACAGATCGTTATGATATTTAAAAAGACCACCAAGATAATTAAAAAGCACAAAGGTTTTCTAATGAGTATTAGAGCTGGTCAAATAGATTGCTGTGAATAATTTATTTAATAGTTTCCCATTTTTCTGTTCCAAACAATTTATACTTTTTAAATATTTTTTTCATTATTTAGCTGTTTTCTGTACTTATAAATATAGCTTATGGAGCTATTTTATGAAGCAGATGCACTTCAGTGGGATCCCTCCAGTTTTCTCTATATTCATGTATTTGTAAGGTTAAACACGGGGACATGATTTTGGTCAAAATGTAAAAATTGTTCCACTTCTTATGATTCCAAGCAGATGTATTCCAACTTTTCTTGTAGAAAATTTCTCAGTATTTTACATTTCTTTAATACAGGCTTTTAAAGAAACCAATAATATATATTTTCAAACAAAAATCAGGCAGTTCTTACTGAAAATTGTGCTTTTAAGGTAATAAAATCATTAAAGGCTTTAATAAACAGTTTTAAAAACACTTTTTGGGGAAAATTACTGAAAATTTGTGAAAAACTGAAAATTGGTATAATGTCAGCAGTTGTATACATTTTTTTACATGCCTTCCATTTTTATGGGATTATTTTTAAGAAAATTTGGACCTGTCTTTCTGATGCCTAACATCATGAGTCATGTGTCTATCTTTTAAAAATAGCTTTTGCTCACAAACTAGACTGTTTTTTTGACTGGGACAACTATATTACCTTCCCCAAAATTATATCTCTATAAATAGTAAGCCACTAGAGTGATGATTGCCAACATTACCTGTTGGTTGCAATCCCCTTTTGTCTGTTACTGTATGTGCCTAGAATATACTTTTACAGCTTCTCCACCTTTCCTGAGAAATATCCCATATATTCAAGTGATGATCTCAGTTCACCTTTATTTCTCGAAGTTGAGGCTTCATACATATGTAAAGATATTTAAATAATTGAAATTAAATAAAACGGCTGGTGACCTGCTACTAACCTCTGTTAGAAAGGTCCAGTTTCAAATTTGGGATGTTTTTCATATTCAGCAGTCCATCAAAACTGAATGTATTGCTCATTTCAAGATTCTAGCTTGACATGAATATGGAAATGAATTGTTTGTCTGTCAGTGAGTGACCTGTAACAACCATCTGTTTGTTACTAGATATTGTTGAAAGAACAATTACGCACAGTTTGAATTTCATACAGAACTTGCCACACAATTATGTATAAAATAACCATATCGATTCTTAATGGTCATGTAATGACTGCAAACACATTATGATGAATCTAAGCTTTTTCGTAGATCGTAAGCATAATCATCTAATGATGATCTTTAAATTTTAATACACATCATTCCCTGTTTATGATTACCCACTTACACATTGTAGCTTAGACACTAATATAATGTCAGCTGTTGGCACCATGGGCCTGATTCTTTATTGCCCTCCACTTTATTTAGTCATTAGACATAGTGGGTGCATCTACACATGTGTTTTACTGCAGAGTACACTAATTAGCTCTACAATAAAGCATCACTGTTTACACATGCAGTGTACTGTCTTATGATGGAGTCATTTGCTGCACTGAAACACACATGTGGATGGTGACTGGGACAGCAGCATTTGAGCTGGGGCAGAGCAGTTCTGGGCTGGCAGGCAACTTAGCGAGCGTCAGCCACATGGCTCTGCAGTTTCAGCTCTCTGGTGCCCCAGTCAGCCCCTCTGGTGTCCAGTGCTGCTACCTGGAGCCTGGGGCTGACCCCGGAGCCTGCTGTCAGCCTGGGGCTGCTCCACCATGGCTCAAACTGCTGCTTTCCTGGACACTTGTGTAGATGCTGTACCTGGGAGTAGTGCACTTCAGTACAAAAAGCTCCAGTTTATCGCGTTGCATTAATTGAATATGTAGATGCACCCAGTGACTGGATCCAGATGAGCAGGCACATGTGGTTTGTGGTGCTGGAAACCTCTTTACAGAACCACAAACCACACAAGTTGCACATTAATCAGTGTATGGTGTTGCTAATTTGCAGCACCGGGGCAAAATTTTCTCCCAGGATTTCCCAGTAACAAAAAACCCCCTGGAAAAAAGTGGTGCAAACTACACCAAAGTGGCAAGTCTGGGGACAAATGCAGAGACAGGGGAGCAGGCAGGGAGCCCCTGTGCTGAGGCACCCTGTGCCCCAACGAGCCTGGGATGGCTGCTCCCTTTTCTCTGCATGCCTCAATGCAGGGGCTCCACTGTGAAGCCCCTGCACTGAGGCACATGGAGCCCCAGCCAGCACATGGGCAGGGGTATGCACTGTGATACAAAGTAGTGGCACAAATTTGTGCTGCTACTATTTGTGCTGCTACAAAATCACTCCCCTGCTTGTGTGGACCCAGCTGGCGAGTGCAAAGCTGTTCTAAAATAGCACCTTTATCTACTTTAACTAAACAACCTGCTGTTTGTTACTATTTCTATTTTTTGTTTTAATGTGTTTCTATCTTTAGACTGTAAGAAAGAGGCCATGGACCACGGTGTATGTGTAAGAGGTGTACATGTCTGGTCACCAAGACCTTCAATGCATATGTCTAGGCAAGAGTATGGAGGAGTGAAATCTGCCCAAGACCTACCTTTCGCCCTTTAGACTCTTGAGACAAAATCTAAAGCTAGACCAAGACCAGATATTCAGTGCCTTGATGGCTGTAGCTTCTGCCACAAAGGAACAGTTAAGAACTGCTGGTGATTGCCTAATGCATCAGTATGGGGGCATTCCTGTCAGGGTCATGTCCCCTAGCTTTTCTCCAACCAAGGAGTATCCACAAGGCAGTGGGGGGCTAGGGTTTTGAGGGGCTCTATACTCGCCTTACTCTTACCTACCATGAGTAGCCCCAACTCATTGCCACCGGGCCCTCCAGTTGGACGCAGTTTAGTCATACCCAGCACCAAGGCATCTCTCCTGTAACTGATGCTTTTCTCTTAAACAGTGTCTATGCAAGCCTAAGCTTTATTTCCCCATAGTATTTTTGTTCTTCCTAGAATAAAGGATGATCACAAATAATATAGACTAAATTTGGGCATCTTCAAGTTCCTGCCTATTTTGGCTGAAATTCCTTGCAGGCAGCATTGGAAGGCTGCAGTAGAAGGCTGGCCTAGGATGAACAGGGGTGTCTAGTCATGTAGGCTGACAGACACAATCAAGCCTTGTCTTCCTGAGCAGCTGAGCCAATGCTCATGACATGCTTGAAAAATTATGTTTATGGGTTCTTAAAGTTTCCACGTGAGGCAATTAGATTGCTTGGTCTGACCTGACAGGGAATGTTGTTCATTTCTTTTAAGTTTGGCTGTTCTAAGCATTTGTTTGTGCTCCCTCCTGTTAGTTCTTCCTCCCCTCCTTACTTTCCCCATCTTCTGGCAGGCAGCAGCGTGGAGTTTGATTGGTGTGCTGTCTCCAGTATCCGTATGCTGCGTCAGCTAGGCAACAAGACAGTTGTGGTGAATTGCAATCCGGAGACGGTGAGCACAGATTTTGATGAATGTGACAGACTGTACTTCGAGGAGCTGTCACTGGAGAGGATCCTGGACATCTACCAACATGAGGTAAATAAAAGAAATCCAACCAGCCTCACAAACGGCATCAGCAAAGAGCCCTGAAGCAGGCCAAACTTTAAAAATTTCAAGTCATTGGCTGCTTTGGCAGGGGTACCTGCTAAAGCTGTTTATTTTGGAGCCTGATGTTGCATTTTCCACATTGTTGCTGCTCCTAACAGACTGCTCAATAATGAATGCCAAATAAATATTAAATTATTTTGCAAAGATTACTTACTGTGCAATATTTACAGGCAGATTTAATTTGTTGCACAGTCATTTATTGCTTAAATTGTTCTGTCCTTGCAGTGCTGACTTTCAGTTCCTGATGCTGAAAGCACTTGAGTGTACCCTTGACTTCTAACATGTGAGTGGTTTACTGAAGCCAGCAGAACAATTCACAAGCTGAAAGTGAGCCTAAATGCTTAGGGTATCTGTCTTTACCTTGCTGTGATTAGGGGGGCTGAGTGCATTCCAAAGAGTGGAAGTGATAGGTAGTTTGAGGGCAGAAGATGAGAAATTAGAACACTATTTCAGTAATCTCATGCGTGCAGCCTCAGATATGGGGGTTGTAAGTATTTGCAGCTGTTCTGCCCTTGCTATATTGATAAGTGAAAGGGAAATCCCAGCTAGCCCTTCAATGGATGGAAGAGAGATTTGGTTTGGGGGCAGGGTGGATTGAGGGAAGTATGGAAAAGCTTCAGTGCTTTTATTTTCCTAACTAAGACTTCATGATTGATATTTTAAAGCTATACGGAGGGAATTAGGCACTCAAGGTCCATTGGAATTCACTGGGAGCTGAGTATCTCAGTTCTTGAAGCAGCTTTGAAGATACCGTTCTATGCTATCTTTCTGGTTCATGTTTTAAAGTGTAATGATTGATCTAAGCTGGTTTGAAAATGGAAACAAGTTTCTAAAGATGGTACTGTAGCTAGGCCAGCTGATTATGACTTATGCCTTGAAAAGCAAGTAAAAGACAATTAAAAGCATAATGCACAAAAAATTGCTGTCTATGCATCCTCAGACAAGATTTTCTCGTCAAGGATGGGCCCATTTACTACTCACTGTGTCTTTGCCCTCTTTTATATTTCTTGTGAAGTGTTGATAAAATACATACTGGGCACGTCTACACGTGCTGTGTGCAGTCATTCAGTTCTTGCTTTCTGACACTACTGTGCAGTAGTAATGAGCTACTGCGCAGTAGCATTGGCATCAGTTTGTGCCTGCCAATGCTACAGCACTGTAGTGACTCGTGTAGATGTGCCCACTGTAACTGAAAAGCATAGCCCTTGGATAAGCCAACATGATTTGTGCCTATTTTCATGCAACAGTCAGCCCAATTTTTTTCTCACTTGAAAAGTTTGCATGAGGTTCATTTAAATAAGCATCTAATTAAGCATCTAAACTCTTGTTTATTTAACCAAAACTGAACTTCTGAACCTGAGGTGGGAAGAAAATTGGTGTGACAGTCTATCAGAGAAATAACGCTGATGAAACACAGTGCCTAATTACTGTAGGATCAAAGAGAAGGCAGAGATGGTTGATGAGGGAGCAAATGCAAATAAGACACAAAACACACACGTGAAAAAAATAATGCATTTACACTGAGGCCTGGTTTATCTGTAAGCTCTACTTCCCATCTCTCCATAATGATAGCTCATCTTTATTTGTCTGAATTTATACTTTTTGATCTAGATTATGACCTTGGTTATGCTTTTAGGTTTGTTTATGAACCTTCTCAGGCCTGAAACATCCTGATGCAGTTGAAGCCTGAGTAAGGGCTGAATGCATCTTGAAAAACCAAGACGGTATCATAGTGTTAACTTCCTCAGTTAGTTGGTACCTTATTGTCCTGTCATGCCAAACCTTTTCAAGTCACTTGCCAGTTAATTATGAAATGAGTAGTGGATTTTTGTAAAGATAGCAGGTGGTTGGTTTGGTGTAGGAAAACTATAGATGATATGTCTACACTGCCTATGAACCATACCTAGGACTGCTGTCATGAAGCATTTTCCAGTCATTATCTCCTGCTCTGCTTATAGCAGATCCTGAAATGAGGCATGGTAGCTGGCTTAGAGTATTGATGAGTCTATGCCAATAAGCACCCAAGACATAGAGCTTAGGAGGGTTTCTGGCTGTGGCTCAGTGCTACTCTAAATCAGTGGTTGACAGTGTTTTCCAGCAGGGCAGAATAATCCAGCGTGGGTCTAAGGCAAGTTGTTATAAGGACCTGATCACCTCTGCTGTTTCTCCCTGCCACATAGCTGCAATGTGGTGCCATGCTGGGAGAACTCCCCTTCTATCAAAGCCCGAACACTTAGCTGCAGCACAGCATAGGCAGAGGCCACCCCCCAGTCTCCAAATATCACCAAAACCACAGCTTTGCAGGCCAGATCATGGGCCATAGGTTGGTGACTTCTGCTTGAAGGCATTGCTACGTTGCCTCTTTTTGGTACGTTGGTGAATTTGGAGTGGGACCAAGTGGACAGAGTATGTTGCAACATGATGATTCTTGGTATGGCACACAGGTGGTGTAGACTTGCCATTTGTTACTAGGGTCATTTCTTGCAGACGTTTGTCAGATTTCTGAAGGCATCTTTATACTGTGGTATCTAGAAGGCCAGCTGCATTACTTTCTGGAAGGTAGTGTTAGTATTCAGAGAGACCTAGACAAATTGGAGGATTAGACCAAAAGAAATTTCATGAGGTTCAATGAGGACAAGTAAAAGTCCTGCACTTAAGACAGAATAATCCCATGCACTGGTACCAGCTGGGGCCTGATTGGCAAGGCAGCAGCTCTGCAGAAAAGGACTTGGGGGTTACAGTGGTCAATAAGCTGAATATAAGACAACAGTGTTGTCTTGTATTCAGCTTATTGAATATAAGACAACCCTTGTTGTTCTTGTTGCCAAGAAGGCTAAGGGCATACTGGGCTGCATTGGTAGGTGTGTTGCCAGCAGACCAAGGGAAGTGATTATTCCCCTCTATTTGGTAGGGCTGAGTGAAATTTTGTCGGCTGTTTCATTTCGATGCTGTTTCAACTCATTTCAAGCTTGAAACAGCACAATCGAAATGAAACAAAGGGCTTTGAAACAGCCTCAAAATGAAATGAGGGCAGTCAAAACACTTCAAAACTTTTGAAACATTTCGAGTTTCGAAGCTGAAGCTGGGCTTGCTTGCAGGGAAACAGAAAGTAAGGAGAGGGAGGGGGAAAAGGGGGGAAGGATTGCTCTCATATTGACTTTGTAGCTGGCCAGTGACTGTGGTCCTTCCCTGAGGTCTCTTGCAATCCCAGTGCTTTGGGGGAGGGATGGAAAAACAGCATAAAAACAGCATTGTTTGAACTGAGCTGCTTTCTGCCCTGGGGTTAGTTACTGAGCTGTGTCTTCCAGCAGCTCAGCATCAGACAGCAAAGGCTATCATTCATTTCCTACTTGCTAGCCTAGCGAGTGGGATTTATCAACTTTTTGCTTTCTATACCCTTTTATTTTGTTATTATATTCATTGATTCTTTTCAATTTATTCCTCCCCCAAAATCCTATTTTTATTTTTGTTAGTGTATTTTGATTCTTTTCAAATCTGTGCTTTCTCTCATAATGAGCATTCCATTCACTGTGCAGGGAAGCACAGTATATATTGGATATTATAATATAGAATTTATATAGGAACGCACACATTTATATATTTTTATTTTATTTATTACATAAATACATTACATAAATACAGGTATATATACAATTATATACAATTAAATCTGATAACATTACAGGAGAACACACAGATTTTCCAGCACACCAAGGCAAAGACACTATGAAAAACACCATGAAGCGTGCTTGAAAGGCAGTTGGCAAGCCTTCAGGGATGGGCAGAAGAGGGAGTCGAGGGAAAGAGCTGTAATCCCCCCCCCCC